TTCTGCTGTTGAGATTGCTTGCATGTGTGACCCTCCGCATATGGGGTCTTTGCATAATGATGTGGGTACTTGAAAAAGACTAAGCTTAAGTTAGCCCATTCCAGTGCGTTCTCATCGCCTGTAGACCCAAAGTAGGATTTGTTTGCTGTGCTGGTTGGTTTCATGAGATCAGACCAGAGGCCATTTAAGTTGGAGTTTAAGTCTTTGAATGCAGATATCTTAGCGTTTGAACCTGAACTTCTGAGCTGGTTGTAACAATGTGACACAAATCTATTCAGAAGGATGTTTCCAGTAAAATTAATTGTAGTGATTCTGCCAAATCAGTGTACACCCATTGGGGTATTGTCGTTGTTCAGTGTCGGTTCTGTGCCTGGCTATAAGCTTGTTGAGAAAAATGAGAAGTGACTGTTACAAAGATAGGCTTTGAACTTTGTCTCCGGTTGCTCTCATCACTAGGTGTAGCTGTTCTTCGGCATTCTCTTCCTTGAGAAAGTTATCTTAATCTCTGCGTGGATCTAGCTAGAAATTACTAGCTAACGTGAGGCGGCCAGTGACACAGATAATGAGCATCACTGTACTTCAAGGACCCTGTTGTGAGATATATGTTAGAGAGACTTAATAATTGCTTGATGACAAGGTGTAGTTTCCAAAGGCTTCTGAGCTACCCAAGTTTTATGTAAGGTACAAAAGAGTAATAGGGACAGAATCTAAACACTCTCTTGTAATAGCATCGGAAAATGTTTACAGCTTTTATATTATGAAACTACAAAAGGGGCTTAGATATTTGTTGTTGTTTTTTGTTTTCTCTAGCATAGCATTTTACAGACTGCAGACAGGAAGTGTGTTTTACAAAGCTCCCTGCTCTTGATTCGCTGTTGAATCATCTTGTCATCATTGAGCTTTAGGTGAATGAGTTTCTGCAGCTGGCAAAATTGAATAGGAAAAGCTTTAATTTTGTTCTGGCGTATGTCCAAAAGCTGAAGAGCTTTTTGGAGTCTGGGATTAGAACTGTGGTGAATGATGCAAAAAGCTTGCGGAGGTTACATTCTTCATGAGGTCACAGATGGTTCCCTGCATCGTTTGCGTGAACTGCTGGTTTCCACAGCTCCAGCCTGCCTGTTTGGTGCTGACTCCTGTCACTTTGCAGTACCTGTGCTAATAAAGGGAATTAATTTGAAAGTATTTTTCAATGTAGTGACTTTTTAGATTTGTTGAAATTTAAGTTCTAAGAATGGTACCAATGTTTTCTGTGCCCATAATAAGTGCATGTGTTACATACCTAAAATTTATGCCATTTGGTAGCTTACTAATCTGTGAGCTGAGTCAGACTTTTGCTTCATTTAAATATGGATTAAAAATTACATCAATCTTTTTTATAAGAATTTAACCTTTTTAACAGTGCATGTCATTATACAACATGTAGCAAGGGGTATGACCCATATTTTCTCAAAGGTTTGTTTTCATCTCTCAAAGGGCACAGAAGGCTAATTTAAATGATTCTGTAACAGCAAAGGCCAATTTGGACCAAAGATTTTGTTCCCGAACTTCAGTCTCTCTTTCGAAAGGTTAATAAAGGCTTACTTTGCACTGCAACGTTGCTGCCTACCAACTCAACAGTAAACCTGTTGAAAATTAGATATTTTGTGTTCAGACCTGTTTGTGTTAGCCTTTCCAACAGGCCGTTCTGTCATCTGGCTTGTTCATGCTCAGCTTTCTTCTTCCATTTCTAAATTTATCCCCTAAGTGGGAAGCTGTTCATTTTCTGCCTGAGTCTCCTGAGTAGGTCGATGCCTTCATTTTATAACAGTATCTGTTCATATCACTCTTGAAATGCATGAGGTACTAGCTTGTAAGTGATGATGCATTTTTTAATTCCGATTAGTATTTTATAAATTCAAGGATGGCAATGTTGCATGGAACAACCTCAGAAATTTGAAGTTGGCAAGAATTGTCAGTTGCTGTCGTTCTCTACCCCGTGTTGAGCGTTCTTTAGTATTGATGCCAGATTCCAGTTGCTTGGGCTTTGTTTCTTCATTGATTTCCATCATATATTGTTTATTGCCTCTGAGCGTTCTACCCTTTGCGGTTTCTATTATATATGAATAGGAAAGCAAAGCATTTTTTATGCTTCTTAGCAGCACAGCTTCTTTTCTGATTTTCTTTTTTAGCTTTATCAACAAAGTCGCCTACAATGTATTTAGGTTTACCAGCCCTTTCAGCAGATGCTTTGCAGCTTTCAGTTTTACTGCCTTTTTCTTGTTTAGGCTCAGTCTCTAGATAGAATTTATGTGTATTTATCTTTCAGAATGGTATTGAATGCCGTTAGGTAGGATCATTCTTAGTGGTTGAAATTTGTTAAAAGCATAGCAGTTATTTGTATATTGCATGTTTCACAACACTGTGATTGCTAACAAAATGTAATGTAAAACCTAAATTAAAAGAAAAACGTTTTCAGGAAATGCCATAACAAATACAGAGAATGATGAGTGGTTAAAAATGTTTTACATATCATGGGACCATTATTTCTTTATTGTAGGAGAAATAAATAGATACTATTGAGTGTATTTCTTTTAGCCTGTTTGATCTATCCTGTGCTCATAATTTCTGGAATCGCTTGAATAATGATGACAGTTTGCTGCAAAAACAGCAACGAAACCAACATAGCTATAAGCATTGCTTTTTGAGCTTTTAGAAAGTAAATAGGTATGTGTTCTAAACCAAATCCACACTTAACACCTTCACAAATATATAAATGACTTAAAAGCTCCCTTGCCCCTGAAAACTTTTTGAAACATGGATGAAAAAGACCGCCCTCCAGTACACATTTTCCACATATTTTAGGATCTTTCCAGAGCATGCTTCTGCTGTGCTGCTTACAGGGGACCTATTTGTCCCGTTCTCTCTAAATTCTATCTGCTTGTTCTCTGCTCTTCAAATAGGAGTCATTTAAGAAAGAGACTGCTGTTGTTCGGATGCTTGATAGTGACATTAGACTCTCACGGATAAACAAGGGTTGTTTAAAGAAGTCACCGTTCTATTGCATATCTCTCAGCATTTGGGTTTGGAATTGTTTGCTATGGAATATGTGAAGTGGTCCTGTTTGACTGTACAACTTGAAACAAGAAGTTACTTGTACCTTAAAAAGAATCTGGATTCTCTCCTCCTAAGACTGGTGTAAATCAGGCATAATGTCTGTGGCATGTACCTCCATCTTTGGGTCTCTACTCATGATTGCAGAGTGAACATGGGAAGTTGTCCTTGGAAGGCGATGGGATTCTCCCAGAGCAGTGCAACCTTTTGGCTGGCATCTGCTCTGCCTCCATAGGCGAAACGTGTGGGAAGGAGTAGTAGTATGTGAGGATCATGACATGTCATTTATTGCAGTCTTCTGCCTTTAGACAGTGGCTATGGAGACAGAGTCTCTGAGGTTTTCTTCAACTGCCATAGTTTCATTAGATGATGTTCCAGGACCTGTCTCTTTGGACCTGGATTAGCCAAAAGGTAATTTGGAAATATCCTGGCTGTTCTTGCTGAGTTCCTGTGCTCGACATAGCTTAAGAAAGCCCCACAATTGCCCTAATCAGTGGAAGTCTTTCCTAAGAAGAGCTTCAAGTTTGTCACTTTCATGTTAAGTGTTTCAGTTTTTTCAGAACCCTTGCATTTAAGCTGTTAACCTGTCGGGGGATGTCTGCAGTAACAGTTAACACTTGTGTGTCACTTCCCATTTGAGATTTCTTGACTGTAGCAAAAATGTCCTGTTATTTGCTGCTGCTGTTACAGAAGAGCATAAAAGTAGTGTACTAGTAATCTGAAACAATGGTGAACTTAAGCCTGATAGTCTTAAACAAGCAAAACCAAAGACTCAGTTCTGCAAACTTGATTCAGTTCCCAGTTCCCTTCTCACTCATGCCTTGTGAGTAAGAGACAACAACTCTTTTATAATATATCATTTGACTTCTCTTGTGTAATTACAGAACTAACCTTGCCTGGAATATTTACTTTGTCTTTTCTGCTTAACTTTCTTCTTCTCTTTAATTATGATTTTGATTTGACTCTTATTAACATTCTTCTCAGACGCTGTGTCACATCAGATTTGCTCTTTTCGTGGTATGGCTTACTGCAGCATCCATTTTCTCTTACGCTGTCAGCACAATCTGACATAAAGCCTTTCCATGTACAATTGCGCTCATATTTCGTTGGACTCCATTAATCTATTTTTGTTCAATTATTTTTTTTAGTTGTTTTTAATATATAATACTGTCATGTGATCATAGAGGTATTTTGACTGCATTGAAATGCATACTCTAGCGAAAAATGAACATCTCTATCCTTTACTATCCCTGAGAGAGAGACATTTAAGTGTGCATATTCAGTATGAAAAATTTAAATAGTTTGATAAAGGAGAAAACCACAAAAGTTCATTTTCAGGCAGTGCTTGTGGTGGTAGTAGGCTGAAGCATACCGTAAGGAAGCCTATCAGATATAACAACTGTATTTTTAAGTATATTGATTCACATGCAAAAGATGATGCCAAACTGTAGTTATACTTTCAGCAATGAGTTTTCAAATGTGTGCTTCTACTTCCATAAACATTTGATATTTAAACTGTTCTGACTTTTTTTTTCCCCCACATACAGGCATATAATTTTCCTTGTATTCTTCACAGAGCTGACTGTGCACCTAGGCATGTTTTTGATGCAACAGGAGCAGAGTGGGAGGGATTATAGAAAAAAATCTTACTTTCAGCTGTACTGTTCATAGTATTCTATTTTATTCTGTTTTATTTTGTTTTATTTTGTTTTATTTTATTTTATTCATGAAAATCAGAAGATAAGCATATCTAATAAGTATCAACATTCTCTCATTCTCAGAATCCCATTTGCAGATTTACTATATGCAAAACTCTTTATTCCATGGCATTTATCAACAGAATTTTCCGTGATAACTATGACCATTTATACTTCAAAATAATAAAAAATTCATTTTTCTTCAATTTGCAGTGCTTGAACAGGTGGCTCTCAAATACGGCAAGCTGTCAGGTTAGTCTGTTTTGTGCACTTGCTGTTTTCAAATTTCCGTCCAATTACCATGTAGTATTGGCAGTTCCTTCAGTCCCAAGCATATGTACAAAGTAAACTAGATATAGTCTGACATACTGTTATCTGTGCTTATATTTGTATATGTGTATGTGAGTATTGTGACATCTTTGAATAATATGTCTATGCCTATCAACAATGGCATAGATATAGAGCCAGTACCAACAAAACTCCTTGAAGCACTGGAGAAATGGCAGAAGTAAGATTGCTTCTCCAAACCTATCATGTCCTGTCCGTAAGATGCATGCTAGCGCAATCTCTAAATCTGTACTTGAATACTATATTTTCTCCACGTGAATAACATTTCGTTCACTGAACGATGCATGGTCTCTTCCTGAAGTCTTTCAATCCACTGATGCTCGTGGTTGGGAGATCTTTGCGTCCTTCTGTTTCCAAGAAGGCTATCAAAGTGGGTAGCAAGCTGTATCTGGGCCTGCTAATGAACTGCTGAAATGAGGCATCCTACAATAGTCAGAGCATGTTATAATGATCCTCAAAAACTTCCGTGACTGGGCTGAGATTGTAACTCTAGACTGCTGCTGTGCTGATACCTGGAGCTCCATCTTCACTTTTATTAAATGTGCTAGCATCTTTGACGAACCAGGAGATGCTGTGGCTTTTGGTAGTGTGGCGCTGCCATCAAGAACTGCCTGAAGAACTCCAAAACTATCTGCCAGGGGATCAGTGCAAAAGGTAATTGACTGCACCCGTTGGTGGAGTGTGTACAGAGACTCACACAGAAGAAAGCAAACTTACTTGACAGAAAGCATTGTTTACATTTAAACGTGTTCCTTAAGGTATGCAGTCCATGTAGACATTTGACTTCCACCTCTCTTTTCCTGTCCCTGATTATGCACCAGTCTTGGAGTTGAGCAGTAGCTAACTGGTGGCAGTTTGCTCTGACCTACCTAGAACATCCTGAGAAGCAATAATGGAGGAGCACGTGTGAACGCTCTGTATGTGTGGTTAGACTACAACCTGAGTAATATCTCTTTGATATAAATGCATCTGTCTATGAACTTACATGTAAATTGCAACTAGTGAATAATATTTACAATGATTCTGCTTAACCTTTTTCTTTCAATCTTCTAACATTTTGTATATTTTTAACATTTTTAAAATTACGTCAACACAACTCAGTAACACATTTACAGAAAGAACAGGTCAGTCATTAGATTTCAGTCATGTATTTCATTGAAAGTGAAGGAATGAGAATACATTTTAAAGGAAAAAAATGTTCTTTTGAGCTCTGTGATATTACTGCATCGGTGAGCAAACTTAATTATATTTCCTTATTTCCTGACTCTCTTTTTTTTTTTTTTTAAGCTCCTGTACCCACCACCTCTTTCCTGCTATTTGGTGGCAACGTACCAGCACAGCTCTGGTATCATGCCAGTAAAAGTACACCAAGTGGGTGGGGTGCCCTGAAGGAGGAGAGTGCTTGCCTACCTTCAGAGCAACCTTTGCTAGACCCTGGGTTTGTCATTTTTCTTGATCTCTTGATGAGACATGAGTAGCACACTTGTAAAATATGTTATCTGCCAATAAAACCTAATCTGAATCTGTTAGTTTTTGTGTTTGTTACATAATGTGTAGCAGTGATAGTCCATGAAGTCAGCTCGTATCATTGGGTTTCCCAACACCTTGCCTGGTTCGACTTCTACTGAGATAACTAGTGTCATTGCAAAATCCTATCACCAGGTTGCCAGCCATTGATTTGTCTGGATATGGTTGCCCCAAAGTAGTAGTGTTAAAATCAATAGGCCGAGAGCCTTTACAAGGTGTCTTCCCTTTGGCCTTCTGCAAGCTCCATCAGTCCACAGGACTCTTACCATCCATAGCCACAAGTCACCATGCTTTCCTCTATCTTTTCTTCTGTGTTAGTAGTATTTCTTGAGCTTTCTACTAACATCAAAGACTTTTCATAACCCTTTGTTTGATCCTCGCTGCTGCCTGTCACTTAAAGGTTTATTCTGCACAATTTATGATGCATCAGCACAAGATTTTAACCTACACACATTTCTCTTAAACCTTTAACGAACCTTTCTTTTGCTTCTAGCTTTACCCATCATAATTCGTAGATACTTTTCTATAATGA